TTGATTTGAGTTTGAAATCTTTGATTTAAAAGATGTTTATATTCAAAAAAATGGGGTTTTCACTCAACCTTTGAAATATTTAGAATGCTTTGGTACTTTGATGGTTAATGCTTGACGATTTGAGAATTTAACAAAGAAATGAGGAAAACCCCCGATTTTATTGAAAACCCTAGAATTGAGATTTTTAAATTAAAAGAGGATTTGAGTTAACCAGTACCTTGTGATAATATTATTAGTGATTTAAATAAGTTGAATTGTGTGAATACTAGGAATGTTGAAAGGATGTAAGGTAATGTTTTGCATGGGTTGATGGTTGGTAAAGAGTAGGACGCGGAGTCTTAAAAATGAGAATAGTTCATTAGATTTCATGTGTTGAACTCTAGTGCAATTAAAAAGGAATTTCGGGACAAAGAGGAAGGCTGAAAACTCATGCATTGCATTGCATTTCCATGGGGTTGGATTAAATATTGGATCATTCTAAGGTGTGTGTATGGTTTCGGAGTGTGTTGTGTGTGCGTGTGTTGCGGTGCCCAATTGCCCTTTCATGCTTAGTGGCCGGTAAATGTGGGGGAAATGTGAAATGATTGATAGGTGTCCAAGTGCTCCGTGTCCAATTGTCCAATTGCCCAATAGCCCTTTCATGCTTGGTGGCCTGAAAATGTAGAGATGTTTTTAAAATGAAACAGATGTCCAATTGCCCCTCTATGCTTGATGGCCTGTAAATGTGGAGGTTATCAAAAAAAAAAAAAAAAAAAAAGTAAGAGGTGCTCACTTGCCCTACTGTGCTTGGTGGCTAGTAAATGTTAGGAGGAGGGGGGGGAATTTGAGGTGTCTTGCTTGGAGTTGGTTTCAAAATGAAAGTTCTTGGTTATGATGATGGGTAATGAGTTGAGTCACTTGGGTTATAAATTATATATTTCAGAATTTGGTTTCTAAACAAAGTTAAGTCGTAAACATGGCATGGCATTGCATGAGCATAATTATATTGCATATTCATTCATGTTATTAAGTTTGCTTCCTACTAGGCATAAAAGCTCACTCCCATTTTATGGGCCGGATGTCCTCAAACTCCAGGTAATGAAGGTGACCCAGGACATCGTTGATAAGTGAATGGAATTCAACACGGAGCACTGAAGCTTCTTTGATGTTGTTTGCCTACAACTATCGAGCTTACTTTTCAAGTTAGGATTTTGTTTGTTGAAATCAAGACCCTTAGTCTTGAAAGGTGTAAGGTCTTATGGAAATTTGGATGTATTTAATTCTTCTTATATGTATTTCTGTGCCTTGTAAATCATTATAAAGAACCTGAAGAGGAACCTATGAGAATGTGACAGACTCCAGTTTATAAAGTTATTTACTTTTATTTATTGTTCACATGTATAACCCAAAAATTGGGGAATTAATATTGCATTATTTGATTAGTAAGGAATGATGTGGTATAAATCGGGGTATTACACTGCCATCTGTTCTATATGCCTGGTTGATGGAATTGGTAGTATGTATTACTCTCGGTTATTTATTTTTTAATATATGTGTTATCGGTTTCGTGTCGTGCTTGTCTATTTGCCCTTGGGCCTATGGCCAGAGAAGATAGTAGATGTATTGTTGCGTAGATGCATTTAGTGTATTAAGATGTGAGGTTGGGTTATGACTTGCATATGGGGTTGTGTTTTCAAAACAGATGTTTGAGTGAGATTATTTTATATTAACATGAAAGGTTTTATCAAAAGAAGAATGGGGTTGGAAATGCTTTTGGCAGCAAAACGAGAATTTAAAAGAGAAGAAATGATTTTTATACTATGTTGTGTCAAGAGGAACTTCTTGGGAAAACCATATTTATATGAGTATTCTTTTAGATATTAACTATCACATTACTCGTATGGTCTATTGTGGTGCATGCATGATCATTTCTAACTATATGTTGTGATTGGTTAGGATCTTTGGAATCTCTACTAGGCTTAGTGCTCATCCCACATATTCACAAATTTTTCAAGTACATGGCTGGAAGATTGTTCGGGACTTAAAATCTTTTGTTATGTTTGGCCACGGAGCCTTTCTATTTGTTCGCCGAGTGCCATGTGATGTATAAGGGTAAATCCCTTTATTTCTATCTATTGTTATTCAATGTAAGCCTAAGGGCATTATACCATATTTTATTTATACATCATCATTATCGTGAGAGAATGTTATTATTCATTCTGAGTTCATATTCTTGAATGGAATGAATGATTTAAAAATGATAATAATATAAAGAATTTGGTAATGGATTCCAGCAATAAAAGTCGGCGCGTTACATATTTTGCACGTATTTTTATATGGATTCACCATGACCATTCAATTTAAAATAATGATTTTCTAAACTCAATGCAACAACACATGCAATTCTAACGGATTTGCATCTCATGAATTCAACAATTCAATATACATCACATGAGTTTCAATTCATCCTATACTGATGATTTCTACAATGATATCATTTTCCACCTATTGCCAATAATAAATCTTTACAATATTATGCAAAAAATTCACAATTTAAAGGTATTCAATTGAAACAAATTAGGTATGGTGATCGATCACCCCAACTTTGCGACCCATCATTCTGCGTAGAAAGTTTGGTTTTAACTCCCAGACATTATTTATTGTTTTAGCAACATTATGCACATGTGATAATGATACATATAAGCAAATGTATGTACAAGACTAAAACGGGTGATGCCTAACATCAAACAAATAAGAGTAATTAGGTCGAATAAAGACCCGAAGTGTTACAAATATGGGCAATAACACATGGATAGATAGGTGGACAAATAAATGACACCTGGACCGATAGGTAATGTGAATAGATAGACAAATAGATAGGATGATATGGTCTTCTCAAATTATTGCATACTTTTGAACTTACAAAAATACTAGACCTTGGGGCTATGGTCCCAAAAAATTTTAAAATTAGACTTTAGGAAAAAAAATCAACTTTTATTATAAAAAATAAAAAAACCACCAAAATGTTTGTCATCAGCTAAAAATTCAACTATCACATCAAATATATTTTTTTTTCCATTAATCAAAAGTAGTTTTATAGTAATTTAACAAACTCATTTTAGGGTTTTTAATCTTTAAAAAAGCCAAAAATCAATTAAAAAAGACAAACTTAAACAAAGAGAAAAGTGGGTTTGGTAAATTTGGAGAAAATGAAAGCAGTTGAGTGTCATGTTATGGTTGCAAGTTATGATATTTGTGGTGTTAATTATCACAAATTAATGTCATAACTAGATCTTTTTAAGTTAAAAAATAAAAAATAAAAAATTATAACCAAACCCCATATAAGGTATGGCAAAAGACTTTTTTAAATCATAACAAAAATATTATCATAATTATCATCTCCATAAGTCAGAATCAAATTATAACTCATATCACGATAACTAATAATCAATAATTCTGAAAGTAATAATTGGTGCATAGAACACATATCTTTTTATATATCATAGAATTTCTATAGTTTTAAATTTATTTATTTATTTGTTTATTTATTTAATTATGATAGCATTAGCAGCAACATGCGGGTCACGTGGAAATTATAAAATCACCTACACAGTAAGAGACAGAGAATCAAAATCTGTAATAATTGAGTAGCCGGCCATTAATCAAGATCTGTGTCATTATATTTTATTTTTATTTTTATTTTAAAAAATGTTATATTTATTTTTTGAGCTTAAAAAAATGTTATAAAAATCTAAAATAAAATAATGTATAGGGCGTGTTTGGGTAACATTTTTAAAAATTTTAGGGCTCTTTTGGGAACACTAGTAAAAAACCAGCTTTTTAGCTTTTCAGCTTTTTTAGCCAAAAAAAACAAGTTTTTTTTATCCAAAACAACCTAACTTTTTGCCAAAAAAATCACTAAAAAAGTCGAAAAGTCAATTTTTTACCAATTTTTCAAAACACCACTTAATCCAAAACTCCTTTAATTTTTGTTTTTATTTCCAAAAAGTTGTAATTAGTTTAGTTATACCACCTATTAAAAAAAAAAAAAAAAAAAAAAAAGAAAGAAAGAAAAAAAGAAATGGAATAAATAGATAAAAGGAAATGGAATAATTAGTTTATTTATTCCATTTCTTCTTCTTTTTTTTTTTTATTTTTTGAACCACCCCCATTGCACATCACTACTATTGACCACTATTGCAAATGGCCTCTTTTGCCAACCACCTCCCTCGACCATAAGCCACACCTTCTACCGCTGCCAACTACCTTCTTGTGATAATCACCTTTGCCAACTGATCACAATCTCTAACCGCAGACAACCACTTTTGATCACTTCTAGCCACCACCAATTACCTCTCACCGATGACAACTACCTTTAGTCACCAACTCTCCCATCTGCTAACCATCTCCGACCATCGACAATTACATCTTTCACTTGTTTTCAAAATACAATTTTAAAATATTTGTGTACTGAGGATGAGTTATATGACACCAATTATATTATTGAAGTGAATTATACATATATATATATATATTTTTTTTTTCCCTGAAGTTTCATCATTGTATGGCACATATGTTACTAAAATAAATAAATAAATAAATAATTGCATGTGAAAAGTCCATACTTATGAGGTCATACATGTTATTTGGTCTAAGATTTAATCTTTTCCAGTTATAAGGGCACCTATTGTCATTGCAGTAAAATTGGCCAAAAAACGTCATTGGGTGCCGAAGGAGGTGGTTGGTGGCAATGAGGTGGAGAAATATGTGACATTTGGACAGAGAGATATCATCTTTTGGACAAATAAGTTATATTTGAATAGATAGACAGATAGATAAGCTTTTGGACAAATAGATGTGTTTTTGAATAGGTAATGTCTTGTGGGACAAATAGATGTGTTTTTGAAAATTTACGCTTGGGGGTATTGGCCTAATAATTTAAGAAGTAAACATCTGACCTAAATACCATATTTTATTTCTAGATCCACTGGGATCATTTTTTGAACAAGCAAGTGAGCATAGACAGTTGAAATATACGAGCCTACCCATTTATTGATCACTTTCTCATAGAAAAATAACAAACATTGCACCCTTAAAAAATGGTGTTTATATAAAAATAGTTGTATCAATAGATAAGACCATGTCTCGTATTGGAATTTTGGCAACTTGAAGGTGATCACACTTTCAGGCGTTGGCACATCCATTTGGGTTAGGTAAAAGATTGATCATAGAGGTTGATTAGAAATCCATCTTTCGAACATAGCACAACATTCAGCAGGTTTTTCCTCTGGAGCTATATGTCCTCCTCCCTGTTAACACACATAGAGTTCAGACACATACAAAAACAAAAAGGTGGGGAGAGGGGGAGGGGGTTAATTTCACTTTCTTTTATCCTTTTAACTATTGCCATTTTTCTTTTTTAATTATATCTTAAATTATTAATTTTATTTATATGGTTATTGAAGTATTGACCACAAATTCATCCAAAACCTGAAGTTGCTTGATAAAATGACAACTTTATTATTTATATTATATTTTCAACATGCCCTCTTACATGTGTCTGAACTTTAATTCTTTATAATAGGCCAAATATGTGCAAACATTTTTTAATTATCAGGTAAGTGGTGAGGTTCAAAGACATAAAATATTGTCTGCTCATATACCATATTGAAGTGTTAACTACAAACTCATCTAAAAGCTCAAGTTGTTAGAGAGAGGGGTAATTTTATTATTTATATTATATTTTCGACATTAGTCTATTGAGTGTTTTATTTATTTATATTTCAGTTCATATGATCCAATTCAAGATAAAATGTACAAAGTGGTGGAATTCTAGCCTATTACGTCCGTACAAAAGGTAGTTTTATAGTCCACACAATCTAAATCATACAATCAACCATTTGTCTTCTCACTCACAATTATACTAGACAACTTACAACTTATAACCAAATAACCCATATTCTTCTCCATTCCTTATTTCAAAATAATGAGCAAGAAAAATTAGTGTCACAGTTGTGTGGTTTAAATTGTTTAAATTTTAAAATGACATTTTTGCCCTTCAAATTAGTCTTGGTGGTTATATTTATTCTTCATTTGGCTAGCTTAAAAGCTAACTTATTGGTTAAATGGGATTTTTTTTATTTTTTCTCTAAAAACTCAAAAGCTTGTAACAAAACCGTAAACGTTAAGAATATGTCAAATAAATTAGTTTTTTTAATATTAAATTTTTTTGTTGACTTATTTTTACCCAATAAATTAGTTTTTAAACTAATTTTCAATAGATAATCATCTCCAAATAGACTAAGTCTACCCTCAAATTAGAGACTCTCGGAACGAATTAGACAAAATTGATACAAATAGAATAAAGGACAATAATTTTTCTCTAAAAACTCTTATCTCATCTGACTAATTCATGTTTTGCAAAAAATGTGACCTTTAACTACTCAAAAGCTTGTAACAAAACCGTAAACGTTAAGAATATGTCAAATAAATTAGTTTTTTTACTATTAAATTTTTTTGTTGACTTATTTTTACCCAATAAATTAGTTTTTAAACTAATTTTCAATAGATAATCATCTCCAAATAGACTAAGTCCAATAAATTAGTTTTTAAACTAATTTTCAATAGATAATCATCTCCAAATAGACTAAGTCTACCCTCAAATTAGAGACTCTCGGAACGAATTAGACAAAATTGATACAAATAGAATAAAGGACAATAATTTAAGAGATAAAAGTGAAAATGACCTAAAAAAAATACGAAGAATGTAAACAGAAAATAAAGAAATAAAAAACAAAAGAATAAAAGAATGTACTTCACCTTTTGTACTATGATCATTTTTTTCTTCAAAAAATAAAAAAGAAAAAGAAAAATGATGCAAAAAACTTGTTTGGCTACTTGTTTTTCTAAAATATTTTTCCAACATCTCTGTTTTTTGGAAATACTTTTCTCAATTTTAATAATAACTCTTTTCGCACAAAAGTAAAAAGGAAAGTGTTTTCATTTTTTTATTTTCATTTGAAAAAACGTGAAAACCAAAAATAAAAAATTCGAAACGATACCAAACACATTTGAAAAATATGCAAAACAAGTGAAGTGGAGAAATATCATACCTTAACCGTAGCAAATGTCATCCGATTGGAGTAAGTCCTTGTATAACTACACATTGTCAATGAAAAATAAATAAATAAATAAAACAACATTTGCAGTAAGCTTTCATCTAAGAAAAATGAATATGAAAAACTAAGGTGAACCTACCCGGCAACTTGACCTTGGACCCACCATGAATGCCAGTCATCAACAATGGAATAGTTGAGAGCTCTAATCCATTCTTGGGTTCCCAAGAATGGAACTATCATGTCGTGGTCACCACTGTTTCAGCCATCATTACACCAACAACTTCTTTATTATTATTATTATTGTTATTTCTATTAGGTTATATTACAAATATACCCCTTAAAATTTGCTGAAAGTTCAGATTACAAATCTACCCCTTCAGGTTATGTCTGGTTAAGTCTCACTTTAATATCTAAACAGTTTATTATGTAAATTTTTTGCATATCGACTCATCATAAAATAAAATAAAAATTAAAAAATTAAATAAAATCGATCTAATAGTGATTATTATATATAATTTTATCAGATTTAACTTCAAAATATAAAAGTATGTTCTTTTCACCATGAATCTTAGTTGTTTAATCGTGTTTCAAGAAAATATAATGAAATCATGTAATAATAATTTATTAATTTCTTTTTCCTTTTTTTTCTTTTTTGGTTTTGTTTATTTATTTATTTTTGGGTGTGTATAGATGATCAATACTTATGAGACCTATAAAAATGAAGAGTTAGACTTCTCTCCATGGGGAAGCCAACTCATTTTTTCTTCTTTATGCTTTTTATTTTTGAGAGCCTTTTTTTGTCCCCACAAATCAGTCTCTTTACCCTTACCATTTCCTAAATTTTATTTATTACCATTTTATCTATAATTAAATTACCATTTAAAAATTGAAACCTTAAAATGATACAAATATTGCATCATTGCTAAACCCTCTCCCTTTGTTATCCCATTTTCAATGACCTCTTCTCTACCCTACTCGCCACCTGCTCTTCCCCACCTTACCACCATTTGCATCACTAGGAACGCCTGCCTCTTCTTCTCTTTCCTTCCTTACCATTCCTCCTTTTTTCCTCCTTATCTTCCTACTTGCAATATCTTTCATCTCCACTGCCCTACCTCTTCATTCCCTTACAATCTACGTGAGTCCCCCCCATCCCTTTCTTGCTCTCCTCACAACCTCCACCACCTCCTCTCACCACCTAAAATCCTAGTTCTCGTCGTTGTTGTACCCTTCGAAACCCTAAATTGAGAGATCAAGGCTCATCTTCTCATACATATGAGAGTGAGAAGTATGAGAGATAATAGAGAGTAAAGAGAAAGTAAAGAAGAGAATGGATGTAGAGAGATGAAGTGAGGTTAACATTGGACCTACACTTATCCCTAATTTTTTATTACAATATTATTTCCATTCCTAGTCTTTCAAACCCTAACCCTAACTCTACACCACCCACTACCACCATCTTAGGCTGCCACACCTAGACCCTACTGACCCTCTCTCATTGCTCCCTACCGCCTTTAGCACCAACCTCACCCTCTTCAGTCCTTCTTTACTATTTATCACCCTTTTCTAGCCTAGCCCTACCCTTCTCCTCTCACTTCCCTATGCAACCCTTTTGATAGAGAAAGAATAACTGTGCGAGAGTGCATTCAAGAGAGAGAAAGTGAGTAGGAGAATAAGAAGAAAAGAAAGAACATAGGGGGTATCGAGGGAGGATAAATAGGGGTTGATGTACTAATAGAGAAAGAAGAAGCGCTAAGGAAGGGCATAAGATGGTGCAAATGGGGTTGGGAGCTAGTGATGGTGGGTAGAGATGGGCTAAAAGGTAACGACAAGGTGAGGGATGGGCTACTTGAGGCAGAGGTAGAGGTGGGGGTTAGGGTTGCAATTTCATATGTTAGGAATGAAGATAAAATTAAGATTAAGGTTGGTGTTCAAAGTATGGTTGGAGAGGGTGGGTGAGGATGGGCATTAAGGTGGCAGACGTGTAGGGGATGGGCTACTTGAAATAAAGGTTAACATAAGGGCTAGGATTAGAATTTCATATGTTAGGGATGATGATAGAATTGAGATTAAGCTTGAAGTTCAAAGTAAATAATAATAAAAATAATAATAATATCAAAAATCAAAATTGTGGTAGTGTTGAAAGAAGATAGGGGTCCAAAAAAACATGAGTACTTTTAGCAACATTATTTTTAAATAGGTACAATGAGGTGAAATATTGTGTAACTAAAACCACCATTATTTATTGCACTTAAATTTTTATTGTAATGAAAGAAACATAGTGATCTCACCTGTATATGAGAGATTTGTAACCTTTAGTGCTGAGGTTCACATGATATTGGAAACTGTCCGAGATTAATTGAGTGTAAGGCAATCCATAGTCGCATCTTATCCATTCCCCTATGCTTCCCTATTTTAAGAAATACAATTCATTTTCATGATATTTTTCTTATAAATAGTTTTAAATATCTATAGAAATGTATCTTTTTTCCCTCCTGGTATTGATACATTTCGACAAATCAATGAGAAAGAAAAAAAAAATACATGTATATTGGTCAATTCACAATAGTAGCAATTTGTACCTGATACCATTGGTTCACAGTATTGATACGACAAGTTATGCTACTATAAAACACATTTATTTCACGGTTAATGATTTAAAAAAAATTCACAACCCATCTCTCAATTTTAATACATTTCATTCGATCTTCTCGATACTAATTCTTCTCTGAATACAAGTATTTAAACATTTTACTCTGAAGAAACAATGTAAGATGTACCTTTTGGATATGGAGTGCTTCTCGGACTCTATCATCGTTAAGCCACAAATGGGAAAGTTTGTATGCATGAGTCTGCAATCAAGGAAGACAAGTGAAATAGTCATAAGATAGAATCTCATTCTCAAACCGTACTTATGGGATAATTGAGATAAAATACAGTTTCAAATGATATATCAAAGTTTGGGAACCTTGCCAATTGAATAGCTCAGTTAAAGGTTTTCCATTAGGGTTCTCACCCCTCCTGCTCGTCACCTACTTGTGGAATATTTTATCATTTTTTACATATCTATCCAACCAATGTTGGATCTTTCTAAAATATATCTAATCGTTAATAGTAATGTCAAAACTTTGGCAATCTACTAGAGCTTTTGCCAAATTGGCATAAATAATCGCAATGCTAAAATTTAGAAACTTCAATGGCAGCCTCGTTAGATCACCCAATTAATTCAAATAGTTTCTACAATGTTTTCAACTTCAAAAAGATTTGATGGACATAACTATGTAGTTGCCAAACTTCTCTTTTGTAACGCCCCGAAATAATTACAACAGGAGCATCCACAATATTAATAAATAACAATACCATGTTGAACACAATAACCTTTTTATTTCATATAGTCCCGTCGTACAAAAGGTAGCACATGCAGTTATATATTCACAAGTCTTAATCCTGAATTTATAGTATGTGTTACAAGCTAAAGATATGAAATAAGATTTAAAGTAAATAAGAAATTCCCTAAAGGCTTATAACTTTCCAAGACAATGCTTGGTTATAACAAAATGGATTTAAATCCAATACAATTAAAGCTATTGGCTTGCAAAAAATAAATACAACCACATGCAAAAAGAAGCCTTCAACTCCATGTCTTCCTAGGCTATTGCCTTGGCGGAGGCATATCATCAATACCTGAAAATGATTTTCTCTATATAGGGGAGCCAAAACCCATTAGAGATACTATAACACAGTTTACGAATCGTAACAAAGATATAAGGTGAATGCATATGCAATGCTCGTGCCAAAACATTTTCATTTCTCTTTCTAAAATCATCCAATGCCAAGTTTATATCTCAATTCATGATATCATTTCCTTTACAATAGAAAACAGGGCAATGAATACAACACTGTGAATCTCTAGGACGTTTCTGCGAGTAGGTTACAAGCACTACAAATTTGTCATTTTTACCAGTATTAACAGGAAGGCTCGACACCTTACCGCGTGGGTTTTTGGACCTTCACCAAGGACGCTCCGGCCAACATAATACCACAACTACACTCCTATCCAGATTCACTAAGATATTCACCTCTTTTTGCTCAAAACAACAACATTTTCAATGTGTTAAATATGAAAGAATGCTCAATGCAATGGTTGAGAAAATAGTTTCAATTCTTCTAATTCTCATGCAATTTCTACAACAATCATAGCTATCCCCCCACTAATAGCCCAAAACAAATATCTCTAAACAGATAAATAATTTCCATAAAGAAAAACTTTTCGAAAATCTCAAGATGGAAGTGATAATACATATCCAACTTCACCATCCTTATCAACATCAATCCAATTCCACATTTCCAACATCAATTCCATTTATCCTTACAAAATCAACATTTGAAATCTTTAGGGCAAAACCCACTTTTCTTTATAAATCAATCCCCATGATAAAACGCACTATTTTATCATAACTCATCCTTATTTACAATCCCATAACCATTTCCAAGAATCCATTTGAAAACCCCACTTTTGATTTTTAACTCAAAACCCCAGAAAATTCCCAAATCACAATATTGTTTTAGAAATAGCAAATAACTAAAAATCATAAGAAAGTGTGGAGAATCCCTAACTCAAGCTTAGAAGAAAAAAGAAGGAATGGAGAAACTTCAACAACGCCAAAACCCAACTTTGCTTCGATCAAAAGGAAGCTTTCAGAGTGTTCTACCTTTTTATCAAAGGAACATAGGTGAAAAAATCAATGGATCTAGGTGCATTTGTAGAAAGAAAGTGAGTTTTTGAGAGAGAGGGTCCCAACTTAGGATTTTTAGAAAGTTCACACAAAGAGAGAGAGAGAGAGAGATGAAAAAGTGAGCCAAAAATGTGACTCTACGAACTGATATACACGCAGACTACTCGAGTGCATGGAGTGTCACTCGAGCGACCAGAGACAATAAGTGAGACCACTCGAGTGCAAGAATGGTCACTCGAGCACGCAATGCACCCTCCCAGTAGTTCAAACCTTTAAAATTTTTATCAAGCATAAGAAATGTCGCTCGAGCGCATATATCAAACTCTTAGTAGTTTTGCAGACTATAAAAGAACGATCGAGAGTAAGAAGCGTCGCTCAAGAGAACGAGCAAAATTCTAGGCAACACAGTTTTGAAAAGAGTAACTCCTAACTTGTTCCAAACACGATAATGATACTCCAACTCAATGAGGAATAAGGGGAAATAAGACATGAACAACCATATAAGACAATGAAACCCAAATTTATATGACAATGAAATAGAAATCCAGAACATCAAATGGGTCAAGTCTACACTAGAATCGCTATAATCTCCTTCCCTTAAGGAATTTCGTCCTCGAAATTTTAAATCTACAACAAAACCATGTTTAAACCAATTACGACAATGATAGTAAATCAAATTCATCACCATGACCCATCCATCGGTCATTCATTTTCATACCAATGATAAACAATTTCTCAATAGTGAATATACAATTCACATTTCCAAAACATATACAATGTTTATATTACATTAACATAACAAAACTTTCAATAAATGTTGAAACATCAACAAATAGGTCCAGATACTTCCCACGGATTTCCAACTCATGCTCCCAAGTTGTTTCCTCAATCTTGTTATGTCTCCACAACATCTTTACAAAAGAAACTATCTCATCATGCAAGACTTGGTCTCGAGTATCTAAAACTCTAACCAGTCTCTTCTCATATGAGATATCCTCATATACCTTAAGCTTGGTCCAATCCAACATGTGTGATGGATCTGACTCATACTTCTGAAGCATAAAGATATGAAACACGTCATGAACCCCAGAAAACTGTGGCGGCGAGGTGATATGCTACCTCCTCAATCCGCTATAGTATCTCAAAAGGCCCAATAAATCTAGGAGACAACTTCCCACTCTTCCCAAACCTCATCTAGGTGATATTTCCCAAAAGACATAATCTCTTACCTCAGATAATAACGGTCTCCTCCTATGGTCGACATAAATCTTCTGACAACTCTAAGCTGAAACTAACCTCTTACGAATAAGTGTAACCTTCACGGTCATTTCCCAGACTAACTCTGGACCCAACATAAGTGCGTCACCCACCTCGGTGCAACACACGAGATCTACATGGTCGGCCATTCAGGGCCACAAAAGGTGCCATGCCAATGCTCACTTGAAAGCTGTTGTTATAAGAAAACTCCACTAAAGGAAAGTGCTTCTCCCATGACACTTTAAAGTCAAGAACGTAACCCCAAAGCATATCCTCCAGGATCAGAATGGTGTGCTTTGACTGCCCATCAATCTTAGAATGATAAACAGTGCTAAAAGTCAACCTAGTGCCCAAGGCATTCTGTAGGCTCTGCTACAACCGAGCTGTGAAACACGGATTTCTGTCTGAAACAATAGTCACAGGAACCCTGTGATGTCGAACAATGTCCGTAACATAAAGGTCAACTAGAAAATCTATTGAGCCACTCGTGCGCATAGGTACAAAGTACACTGACTTAGTTAACCAATCAACTATCACCCAAATGGCATCATTACCCGGTTGAGTCCTCGAAAGACCCACAATAAAATCCATCGTGACATGCCCTCACTTCTACTAGGCTATAGGCAAAGGTTTCAACAAACCCGCTGGCCTCTTATGCTCGGTATTCACATGTTGACAAGTATGGCACCTTGATACAAACACAACTACGTCCTTCTTCATCTCCGTCTACCAAAACTAGCGACTAAGGTCATGAAACATCTTTGCGCCTCTCAGATGCACTGTAAGGCGCGAATGGTGGAACTCTAGGAGTACCTCCTCTCTGCAAGACTCCGGCATGAAAAGACGATTAAGGTATCTAACACTCGAGTCAGAAAACACGTTCAAGCCTTTCTCTACTTTCCCACTAGAGATCTTCTCCGGAGGGATCCTACGTCATGATTACCCCTATATACTTCTATAAGTCGGCTCACAGGTGTAGGTTATGCAACTACAGTAAACAAAATTGTCGACTCAATGGACTCACCAAGATGCAAGTCGAACTCGCCAATAGTGCCCAACATCTCCTATTCCCGAATGACAATACTGGCTACACTGCTAAAGGGCTTCCTACTCAAAGCATCAGCCACTATGTTGGCTTTCCCGGAATGGTAATGTAATTCAAAATCGTAATCCTCTATAAAATCCATCCACCTTCTCTGCCTCAGATTCAAATCCTTCTGTGAAAATAGGTACTTCAAACTCTTGTGATTGGAGAATACCTCAAACCTCTCACTATACAAATAATGTCTCCAAATCTTTAAGACAATGATCACTGCTCCTAGCTCTAGATCATGACTAGGATAGTTTCTCTTTGTGTGTGTTTAGCTGACGTGAGCCATAGGCTACTACCTTCTCCTTTTGCATCAAAACACATCCCAAACCTTCCCGAGACACATCACAATACACTGAATAGCCCGAACCCCTCTCTAGAACAATCAACACTAGAGCAGCGGTAAGTCTAAACTTAAGTTCTTGGCATGACTTTTCACAAGTTTCACTTCATACAAACTTAATTCCTTTCCTCGTCAGTCTAGTCAAAGGTGAGTCTAACCTAGAGAAATCCTTAACAAAACAACAGTAATACCTGGCTAACCATAAAAAACTTTGAATCTCAAAGGCATTCTTAGGTTGTTCCCAATCTTTTATTGCTTCTATTTTGAAAGAATCTACAGTCACCCCATCCCCGGATACCACATGACCTAAGAATTTCACTTCTTTCAACTAGAATTCACACTTCTTGAACTTAGCATACAACCTGTGGGCTCTAAGTAACTCAAGCACAACTTGCAAGTGTTCCTCGTCCTTCTCCTCGGAGAGTG